CCAATTGTTTATTTAAAATTTCTTAATGAGCTCTGGGTAGTTGGAGAAAACACTGAGTAATGAAAACACCATTCAAAAAGATGGCTTTCATGGCATCCTTCAGCTGACTGTCAACAATATTTGACTAGACATGGCATTCTGATTTCCTTCTCAATTTAAGGTGGTAAGAGATTTTTTAAGTCCTGTCCAGCCACAAGCAGAAAGCAATGAGTATTCTACCTATAATAGTAATTGTATTAGGTTTCATATCATTTATCTTGCTGCATATGCACGCTCAATGCGACTGGTCACTATCTCCTCCTTTATAAAGCAGGATTTCCTTTTCCTTAAAATAACGGAAAGTCACATAGCACCTTAAAGACTAGCACATTTATTCTGGCATAAACTTTCATGGACACTGTCTACTTTATTAAACTTGTGAAGTATTAAGCTCAAATTGATCCATCCATCCACACACACACATGCTTGTGGGTAAGTAGAACATGTACACTGTGTTGTCAGAAGGAATTGAGATGCCAAAAAATAGAGACAGTGATAAAAATCTTGCTATTCACAGTGTTGTTGGGTGATAACACAAACATCATTGTAATGGTGAGCTGATTAACATACTTAGTGCAATTTTAAAAACGCTTTGACCTTATGCAAACCACAAGAAGAATATTGCATCCTTTATGAGAGATTTAGGACTATTTATGTATTTGCACATAGACTGACTAGCTTGCTCTATGGAGAATGTAGAATGCATTGCTGGCAAATGGAGGCATATATCAGATTGGAGGATGAACTCTTGAGATTGCAGATAGCATTATTAGGTTCTGTAGTAGCGTTACCTGAATAGGTATGGAGGCAGAGTTGGGCATAGGGTTGGATCTGCCATAGTCTGGTTACTGTGTCTGTATCTCTGTTGTGAGATTGGTGGTGTGGAATAATCCTTTTTGGTTGCTTCCTGTAAGTAAGTAAAGGACTACCACACAAACCCCATGAAAGAGAGAAATATGATTGTCCAGGATGGGTTGTAGATAACTGATGGCATGTCTAATTCAACAGGGAATTATAGAGAACAACAGGTTGTGTTCTGTTGTTTTCTGTTCTGAGTTCATTCTAATGCCAAGGGAAAGTAAAATGAAGAATTCTATTATTATTACTAGAAGTACTATAGTACTATTATAATATCATCCTCATCATCTGTATTGCATATATTCGCAGTGATTGGGACTCTAGGCAGCTCACAACATGAATACATTTCAGATGAAGGCATTTCTGATTCAGTGCCTTAAAAGAAATTATATGGGGACTGGGAAAAGGAAGGGATAATTTGCTCAAGGGAACTGGTGGAAGGTGAGTCAGTAGCAGCAAGAGCAGCTGGGAAGCTTATGTTGCCAAGAGCATCTGGCAGGGTGAAGAAAGGGTGATTGTGCCTGGAGACATTTTCTATTCACTGCTACCTATATTGGCATTTGAACAAATATATCTGCATCTTTTGTCTAGTGGCTAATAAAGCCAAAGTGGACCTTTATAATGTTTTCATAGTACAAGGATGAAACAGGCCATAGTACATGGTTGAGGTTTTATATTCTTTCTCTTTTAACCCGCCCTCCCCCCACATTGGTGGAGTTTGGTATAAATGTAGTAAAATTAACTTTTTTTCTAAATTGACTAAAAACACAAAAGAACAGAGGGAAGCAAATGAAGCATCTCAAAACATAATGTAGTCTCTGAGCAAAACATCTGCCTTAATTTTCTATGATAGAAGGAGAGACAGGTGTTGCATGGATAGGGAAATGATTATTTCTAAAGTATGTGAAAAATGTAGAAACAGGCTTTAATACAATTTTTCATTTTATTTTTGGAGTATTCAATAATCTTGATTTGCCTTTTATTTTGCAGTATTTCAGATGTGGCAATTTGTCAGAGTAACTAGAATTACACAGTTTGGAAAAAGAGAATATTGAAATAATGGGAAATTAGTCATTCTGAGAGTAGACACATTGGGATGGTTCACATGTCGAAATAAGTTAAGCCATCACAGATACATTCACTCCAGACTATGTTCCCAAATTAATCTGATCTAGAATTAGGTATTATCTCAGCAAATATGTCTCCTAAAACATACATTTGCCAAGATAACACATTTCCTGGATGGAGACAGTACATTGTGTTGTCTATTGAGACAAATTGCTGCTAATTGAGCTCTACTTTGATTTTCCTTCTTTAATTGGGGGGGGGGGGAGAGAGAGAGCGCACACAAAGAACTAGATACTATTAAACTAGCTAGGTGTTATTACATTACATACCACAAAACTCTTATGTCTAGTGCAGAGAAAATTAACTCAGATCCTAAATATCTAGAGTGGGAATGCATAACTTCAGGACCAGGGGCCAAACCTGCTCTTCCTTGGATCCCAGCATGGCTCTCTGGGGTCCTTCAGAAGGTCACACCCCTTCCCTCGACCATTACCATTTTCCTCCAGCCATCGTACAATCACTGAACATTTTCCTAATTTTTGTGCAGTTTGTCATCTAAGGCTTAGTTAGCAGCACTAAGAGTTCTAAGCAATATCTAAAGCCCCCGGAAACTTCTCTGAAATGTAATTCAGCCATTAGTTCAGCATCCTTGGTCTTGGGACACTGGGCATATTTAGGCAGGTGGCAGATGTTGTATTTGGACAGTGCTCATTGATTCTTCCTCCTACCAACTCTTCTCTGAAATCACTTCTCAACCATTTTTCCTCAGCCATGCATATTTCAGGTTTTGGAACATGGCTCTGCCATAGTTTCTTTGTTTGTTTGATTGTTTCAGATATATTATGGCATAGCTGTTCGACCAAGTGGATCTCAATGGATTTCTCAGCAGTGCAGGGACTATTTCACCTTCTCAGCCTCTGGAGATTTGCCCAAATTGTGGGTCAAATGTCACGCTATCCCTCTGAAGGTCAAAAAGCCATATAGCAGTTTTCAGAAAAGTCCTTTGTTAAGCGTTCCTATGGGCAAAATGTCACAGGAGGTTAGAAGATACGGTTTCATATTTTTCATGGCATAAAGAAGTATCTGCAGCTGCTGCAAGTCTTGGTGGCAAAATAGAAACATAGAAACAGAGCGAGTCAGAAGGGGCCTCCCAGGCCATCTAGTCTGACCTCTGGCACCATCCGGCTCTGCTCATGACATGCCCACCATGTGCATGTCCAGCCTATCTTTGAACACCCGCACCGATGGGGCCTCAACCACCTCCCATGGAAGCCCATTCCACACCCTCGGGGTCCTAACTGTCAGGAAGTGCTTCCTGGCATCCAAATGGAACCTTGGCTCCCTGAGCTTTGCTCCATTGGAGCGTGTCCTACCTTCCTCTAGAGGGGAGAACAGGTCTCTACCCATCTCCATGTGACATCCCCTCACATACCTGTATGTCGCCAACATATCCCCTCTGAGTCTCCTCTTCTCCAGGCTGAAGAGACCCAGTTCCCTCAGTCTCGCATCATACCGCATCCCCTGCAAACCGGCCACCAACCTTGTGGCCCTACGCTGCATTGCCTCTAACCTGACTATATCCTTTCTGTAATGAGGGGCCCAAAACTGAGCACAATACTCCAGTTATGGGCGCACCAGAGTCGTATAGAGTGGTAGTAATACCTCTCTCAATCTCGAAGCCACACTTCTGGCTATGCAACCAAGGGTGGCGTTTGCCCTCTTGACCATCGCATCACACCGCTGACTCATTCATACTGCAGTCTACCAGTACCCCAAGGTCCTTTTCACAAGTGTTGCTCTCCAGCCACTTGTCACCTAACCTGTACTTATGACAGCTATTCCTATGCCCCAAGTGCAAGACCTTGCACTTATCCACACTGAACGCCATCCTGTTGTCTCCTGCCCACTTCCATAGTCTGTCCAGATTATTATCATCATCATCATCATCATCATCATCATCATCATCATTATTATTAGAACATTTCTATGCCGCCCCTTGCCGAAGCCTCGAGGCGGCTTACAAACACAATAAAATACAATAAAATACAAGAATAACAATATAAAATTAAAATTAACAATATAAAATAAATAAAAATATAAAGGAGTACCTGCTCCTCAGTTGTGGCCACTGCTCCAGTTTTATTGTCGTCTGCAAATTTGATCAGCAGACTGTTCACCCCTTCTTCCATGTCATTTATGAAAAGATTAAACAGGATCGGCCCCAGGACAGAGCCCTGGGGGACCCTGCTTGTCACTGGCCACCATCCCAATGATTCCCCACTAATGGTTACCCTCTGCTTTCGGTCAGTCAACCATGCCCTAATCCACCGGACAGTGCTTTGGTGTATCCCAAAACTCCTCAGTTTCTCCACCAGGATATCATGGGGCACTTTGTCAAAATCCAGGTATACCACATCCACTGCATTCCCCTCCATCTAGCCATCTCGAAACCTTGTCATAGAATTCCACAAGGTTTGTCTGGCAGGGTTGGTTTTGGTTTGTTTTTGCAGAAGCTGTGTTGTGTGGCTGTCAGCCTCCCTTCCCTATCTGGCATCACTTGTTCTCTCTCTATTATGAGCCTTTCCATTGTTTTTCCTACAATGGACGTTTTTCCTACAACAGGTCTGTAATTGCCCATGTCCATTCTACTACCCTTTTTGAAAATTGGGACCACTGACGCCACCCTCCAGTCCTCTGAAACTTCACCCGTTCTCCACGAGGCCTCAGAAATGGAGGCCAGCGGGCGTGAGAGAACCCCTGCCAACTCTCTACGTATGCTTGGCTGTAACCTGTCAGGGTCTGGAGCCTTTGTAATGTCCAATGCCCTGAGGAGACCCTCGACTTCAAGGGGGGGTGACTCTAATCTGTGCCCCTAAGTCCCCAGCCTCATCTAATCTCCTATGCGGATATCCCCCATCCTGCTCTGGGGAGAACACAGAGGCAAAATAGTCATTTAGCATCTGTGCCTGTTCCCTTGTAATGAATACATTTTTTAATGCATATTTCTCTCTCCTTTTCCCCCCTACCTCACCTAGGATGCCTTTGAAGTACTGGCTGAAAACTATGAATTCAGAGAAAATGAAGTGTCTTGCCTTGCATTTAGGAGAGCTGCTTCTGTGCTGAAATATCTTCCATTTACTATAGTTCGAGTAAACGATATTGAAGGACTGCCCTGGATTGGAGAACAAATCAAAGAGGTCGTTGAGGTAAGATGTAGACATTGCTACATCAGACAATTTCTTCAAAATCCAGACCGAGGGTTGTTTCTCAAGCTAGTCTCACTTAGAGAAGACTCATTAAATGAACAAAGTTTAAATTGGGGTAACAGTGAATACAATACACACACAAATAATCATAATCTTAACATTTCTAATTTAGCTGAACTGTTGTATGAAGCTAAAATTAAAAATGTCTTGTTCGGTGAATAATAAACCAAGCCAAATCAAAGTTACAATCACTGAAGAATCAGTCATTTAAAGATAGGGGCATGGATCCAGAAATATTGTTTTGCCAGCAGAACAGGTATTGTTGGTGGATTGAGACTTCTTGCCCTCTCCTTTGTCCCTGCAGTTTCCTCATATACCCTCCAAACAGGCAGGCAGAGAAAGGAAATCCTGTTCTGCAAGCATTACCCTTCTCCTGTCAGAAGAATGTTTCTGTATCTACCTGCATGAATGGAGAAAAGGGAGATTTTTGTAACTAAATTTTACAAAGAGAAAAATAACTAAAAATTTCAAGTGTTCCTGCATAGCATACTGAGACTGCAAGCCTGAACATGAGCACAGTCTTATTTACTTATGTAATTTTTTTCTAAATAAATATTCATTAGTAAATTTGCAAGATAACTTGCATCCTCTTCGGCCGTACTGTTTTAAAACAGAACAACATACAGTAAACTACCAAGCTTAGAATGCATCAAAAACATGCTTGGGATCCAGCAGTGACCATGGCTGGGAGGAGAAGGGAGTGGGGTAGAAGAGTAAGGCAGCCAGAATGGTGGCATTAAGGATTCACCCAAGACCTTATGAGGTCCTGAGAAAGTTATGAGGTCTGCATGAGAGGGAAATGTTGCTGACTTGAGCACCAGCAGGGGCTGGTTTAGTCACCATCAGATACTGGCTCAGTCTTATGGGAAGCAGAGGAGAATCTCCCCTGAGATGAGATGGGAAAAAGCAGCCAAGCAGTGGCACCAACTGCAAGGAGGAAGGGAAGGGAAAGGGGGAGATCATAGGGAATATGAATGCTACTATTAATCCATAGCATGAAGGACCACTGCTCGAGGGGCAGTGAGCTTTAACCTGTCCTTACTTTGAAGACTTTGCGGGGGGGGGGTCCCTCCCACCTACTCTTATGCACTTGCAATCTGCGTAGGAAAAAAGCTTCTTTGAACCAACAGGGCAAAAAGTTAAGGGGCCTGATCTTGACTTGCTCCCTCAGTGTTTTGGGTAAGGAAAAAGAACAGACACAGCTGCATGCTAAAAGTAGTGGATCTGGCTCTCAACCAGCATCAGATGGGACGCCTGTCCTCACAAAGGAGAATGAGGAAGCTCTGCATGTCTTATGCTGCTTCCTGCTTAGCGTGAGCTACAGCTATGCTAATACCACCTTCACTGCTGCAAAATCATTTACTGTAAATTCCTACTGAGAACACTACAGTAGAACTGTGTTCCTACAATTAAGTGGAAATCATTTGGCAACTAAACCATCCCTCTGCTCACCATTCTTTTTAGCAGCTGGCATATTTTCCCCACTGTTATTTTAATAGGGAAAATAATACTGTATTAAGTGCTGTGTGGGACCACCACTGTAGTTTATTTCCAGCTTAGTGTGCAATTTCAGAACCTCAGCAATATTAAAGACCCCTAATGCAGGCACATTCGAACAGCACAAGCTGATGCATTTCTAGTCAAAAGTAAGTTCTGTGAAGCTCAGTGGAACTTACTCTCAGGTAAAATTAGTGTTTAAAAGCTGAGGATGATAATTCAATGGCTTATTGTCCTAAAAATATATCCTTTGGAAAGCTTTCCTGCCAAAAAGAGAAAAGAGTAAATCTGTATGTCTTTTAAATCTATAGGATATCTTAGAAGAAGGAGAGAGTCCCAGAGTGAATGATGTTCTAAACAATGAAAAATACAGATCATTTAAAGTAAGTCTATTTTGCTCTTTTCCTTTTTGCTCTTTTCAAAAGCCTTATGAAATATGCATTCCTTTGCCCCCAAGACACCATCCTTGTTACAGACATGGAAGAAAAATCAAATATTTAAATTGATGGATCAGATGAAAAAATGGTTGCATAATGCTGCAACCCTATACACCCAGGGTGGAGAATGTGGTCTGTCAGACTGGCCTCTCTGGTCAGTGGGCGTTTGGGTGAGGCCGTTTGCCTCCCTGTCGCCCTGCCCCCCCAGAATGACTGAGCTGTGTGTCTGTTGCTCTGCTCCCTGTATGGAGAGACAATGAAGGAGCAAAGCTCTCTCCTCCCCCATGCTCCCCACACAGAGAATGCAAAGGAGGTTCTTTGGTGAAGGTTGCTCCACCAAGCTTTCCATAGCAGAAAGAAGTCCAGGAGGAGCAAAGCAGCTCCCCATCTAAGACACCATCTGGAGGGGCTCTCGGTTGAGGATCTGATGGCATCATGGGTCACTCCATATGACTCCTGATGTCTTCTGGCCTGTGAGAGGGGTCTGGGAGGGGCAGTGGTCCCTGTCACCAAAAATGCTCCCACTTTCTTGGGTATTGGCCCCATGGACATAGAGTCTGATCATGGCGGCATCCATCTCCCTCCCCGCATACAGCATGACTACATCCTGATATGGCATCATTGCTACTGGGCATCTGTTTAGAAGTGAGCAGGGATGCCACTTGGAACGGCCCCAATGTGGCTTGAAGCAGCAAGATATTTGAATTTTTATTTTAAAATCCTAAAACAAAAGGAAAGGAAAATAAAATTTTACTCCCACTTAGCTCTCCACTAAGTAAGCCCAAAAATGTGGGGATTCCCCCCCCTTCCCTCCACCCCATTCTGAGGGGCTCTTTTATCTGGCTCCCACCTGTGCAAAATTGTGTGTGTGTTGGGGCGGAGGGCTGGCCTGGTCTGAACACTTCAGGATCCTTTAGGCCTAAAGGCATAACTCCTGCCAACTAACAGTTAGAGGAGAGAGCAGTGCACTGGAGGTGGTCGCTAACCAGAACTGATTCCCATCTTTCTTTCTGCTGTGGGAATGCATTCCCCACTGAAGGGGGGTGGATTTCTCCCATTCAATATCAGTCTTCTGGCAGATAGGGCCAAAGTGCTGGAACTTCAGTGGAATTTGAACTGCAGCTTTAGGTGGCAATCCTATGAACAGTTAGTTGCCTAGGCATAAGCACCATTGAACACCGTATGATTTACTTTCGACAAAATATGCAGTACATGATCTTTATCCTGTTCTCCTGCATGTGGTGCTGCAGAGAATATATCTTTCTTACATTCTCCATGCCTTTGAATGTTAAGACTAGCCTTCGTCAGCCTGGTCCCTCTAGCTATGTTGAACCACAGCTCCCATAATCCCTAGCCAGCATGGCTTTGGAGGCTGGGGTGATGGGAGTTGTAGTCACATAGCTAGAAGGCTCCAGTTTGGGAAAGTCTGGTCTAGGCATTGGAGCTATGCAAATTCAACATTCCCATATTAATGGATGTGTGAAAAATACATATGTTACTTTTTATTTGAAATTTACTTTAGCTGGTTCATTTTGGATTGATTTCCAAGTAAAGTTGTTTAGGCTGAAGATTGAGTACACTAAATCTTAGGACACATTCTTAGATACACCTAGCTCGGAGTGAGTCCTGTTAAACTTACCTCTCATAGAATCATAGAATAGTAGAGTTGGAAGGGGCCATGAAGGCCATCGAGCCCAACCCCCTGCTGCCGCAGGACACCATGTTACACCATCCCACTCAGATGGCTGCACAGGTTCTTTTTGAATGTCTAGTGTGGGAGAGCCCACGATCTCTCTAGGCACCTAGTTCTACTGTCATATTGCTCTGACAGTGAGGAAGCTTTTCCAGATATCTAGCCTGAATTTTGGTTGTCACAGCTTGAATTGATTATTCCGTGTCTTGCACTCTGGTATCAGCGAGAAGACGCTCCTCTTTGTGAGGTACTTATAGAAGGATGTCATGTTCCCCTTCAGTCTTCTTTTTCTGTAGCTGAACATGCCCAGTTCTCTCAAGTCTCTCCTCAAAGGGCAGTGTTTCCAAAGGCTGGATTATTTTTGTTGCCCTCCTCTGGTCCATTTCTAATTTTTCTGCATCTTTCTTAAATCTTGGTGCCCAGAACTGGACACAGCATTCCAGATGAGGTGTGACTAGTGAGAGAAACTACCTTTTCTCATGATTTGGAAGTAATACTTCTATTAATGCATCCCAAAGTAACATGATTGCACTATTACTAACAGCAGTGAATCTAGCTTTACTGACAGTAGAGGTGGAAAAGTTTAATTTTGTTTCTGTGACTGTCATTGATAGTCCAGTTTTTTAAAATGCTGTACTAATTTTTATGTAAGAATTTATAAAACATCTGTGAATTTTTCTGATTCCATTTAAAGACTACTAAGCAAACAAAATAATAACAATTAATAGATAAAGATCTAAATACTTTTTGGAAAATGATTACCAAATATAATCATTCCTTACAAACAGCAAGCTTTCCACAAAGAGTAGGTAATTTCACTTGTTATATCTAAAATATAGAGTAAAATATGTATTTTAACTGTCCAGGATTTTCATCTGCTCCTTATCATAATTGCTTCAAAAATAACAATAATCTCATTAAAAGGAAAAGATAAAATTAGCATGCCTCACATTCAAAGAATGGAGATTCACCAGAAATGAAGAATTAAAATGGGACCCCCCCACTGTTATTTCTCAAATCCTATGAATGGCAATGAAATGTTTGAGAGAAAGCACTGACAAAATGCACATGAATAATCAGCATTTTGTTGCTTTGGGATATCAATTCACATCTGAAAAATTTGCTTTTCTTCATTTTCTCTATAATGTTCCTATAGCAACTGTCCCATAGTTAGAAACAACAAAAGCTTTGGGAATAATCCACCACAGTTTCTCTCACAAAACCCCCACTGAAGCTGCTACTTGCCCTGGGAGGAAAACAGCTGTTGGTACCTGTAACTGCTTCCTTCACCATAACCATGGCGCAGGGGGAAAGTTGAAACACAGTCCTCTCCACATGCTGTATTCCTGATGAGAGGAAGGGACATGCGGCACTGGAGTTGCTGGGCAGCTGGAGCAGGACTGTTCTTCATGCCAAGTGGTCTCAGTCCTGATCACCTCTCATCGCTTGCTTGCTTGCTTCCTGCCTTGTTATTCATTATTCAAAACATTTATTAGGCTTTTACTGTAAAAGGATTTCCCTCTCCCCTGCTTATTCCTGTTGTATCCAATGGCTGGTATTCAGTGTTAGTCTAACTTAAATCCAATACACTCCAATGGACCTACACTCAGTAGGAATAATGTTGGATAAATAAGTCTTCATTTCCCACTTCATGGCAAGTTCTGTATCTTTAAAGTTACATCATAAACCAAATTTAGAGTGTAATGTACAGTGTATCTCAGAAGTGAGTACACCCCTCACATTTTGTAAATATTTTATTATATCTTTTCATGTGACAACCCTGAAGAAATGACACTTAGCTACAATGTAAAGTAGTGAGTATACAGCTTGCATAACAGTGTAAATTTGCTGTCCCCTCAAAATAACTCAACACACAGCCATCAATGTCTAAACCACTGGCAACAAAAGTGAGTACACCCCTAAGTGAAACTGTCCAAATTGGGCCCAAAGTGTCAATATTTTGTGTGGTCACCATTATTTTCCAGCACTGCCTTAACCCTCTTGGGCATGGAGTTCACCAAAGCTTCACAGGTTGCCACTGGAGTCTTCTTCCACTCCCCTCCATGATGACATCACGGAGCTGGTGGATGTTAGAGACCTTGCGCTCCTCCACCTTCCATTTCAGGATGCCCCACAGATGCTCAATAGGGTTTAGGTCTGGAGACATGCTTGGCCAGTCCATCACCTTTACCCTCAGCTTCTTTAGCAAGGCAGTGGTCGTCTTGGAGGTGTGTTTGGGGTCGTTAACATGTTGGACTACTGCCCTGTGGCCCAGTCTCTGAAGGGAGGGGATCATGCTCTGCTTCAGTATGTCACAGTACATGTTGGCATTCAAGGTTCCCTCAATGAACTGTAGCTCCCCAGTGCCGGCAGCACTCATGCAGTCCCAGACCATGACACTCCCACCACCATGCTTGACTGTAGGCAAGACACATTTGTCTTTGTACTCCTCACCAGGTTGTCGCCACACATGCTTGACACCATCTGAACCTATCAGACCACAGGACATGGTTCCACTAATCCATGTCCATAGTCTGCTTGTCTTCAGCAAACCGTTTGCGAGTTTACTTGTGCATCATCTTTAGAAGAGGCTTCCTTCTGGGATGACAGTCCTGCAGACCAACTTGTGCAGTGTGCGGCATATGGTCTGAGCACTGACAGGCTGACCCACCACCCCTTCAACCTCTGCAGCAATGCTGGCAGCACTCATACGTCTATTTCCCAAAGCCAACCTCTGGATATGATGCTGAGCACCTGCACTCAACTTCTTTGGTCGACCATGGCAAGGTCTGTTCTGAGTGGAACCTGTCCTGTTAAACCACTGTATGGTCTTGGCCATTGTGCTGCAGCTCAGTTTCAGGGTCTTGGCAATCTTCTTATAGCCTAGGCCATCTTTATGTAGAGCAACAATTCTTTTTTTCAGATCCTCAGAGAGTTCTTTGCCATGAGGTGCCATGTTGAACTTCCAGTGACCAGTATGAGAGAGTGAGAGCGATAACACCAAATTTAACACACCTGCTCCCCATTCACACCTGAGACCTTATAACACTAACGAGTCACATGACACCAGGGAGGGAAAATGGCTAATAAAGCCCAATTTTCACTTAGGGGTGTACTCACTTTTGTTGCCAGCAGTTTAGACATTAATGGCTGTGTGTTGAATTATTTTGAGGGGACAGCAAATTTACACTGTTATGCAAGCTATATACTCACTACTTTACATTGTAGCAAAGTGTCATTTCTTCAGGGTTGTCACATGAAAAGATATAATAAAATATTTACAAAATGTGAGGGGTGTACTCACTTCTGTGATACACTGTACATTGTTGCTTGTTGTTGCTAGTCGCAAAGTGAGGAGAGTAGGGGTTTGAGACTCATTTCTTTGTGCCAAAATGCAGGAGGGGGAACCCAAAAGGTGGTTGTTCAGGGCTAGCCAAGGGTTCATGGTTCAGTAAACTGAATACTTTCCCACTCTACATAGCTCTTCACTTCTGTTTTTGGAGTGGGACTGAAGACATCTGAGAAGTGGCACAGGATGGGCTTGCGGACTCTGGAAGAAGTGAAAAGTGATATGAACCTGAGCCTAACAAGAATGCAAAGAGCAGGTAAAAATATCTATTAATGCGGAACCTAGTTTGAGTCTTGAAAATGCAGTGATTACAGTTCTGTCCTATGGCTGCTTGACAGAGTCTAGACCACCATAATATTTTTCAGAGACTCAGGCATGAGGGCAGCAAAGTGCTTGAACTTTGTGGCTTGGGTGGACCCTCTCCCACTTGCACTGGGTGCGGAAAGAAAGTGTGGTCAGCATCTCTGAGGCTGCAAAAGTGATGGCAGAGATAGGGTTGAATGGGTTTTACAGAGGGAGGGAAGGAGACGAGCAGCAGCACAATGAAAAGGGCCTCAGTCTCCTTCCCTTGTGTTCCAAGGTGTGAGCCTTAGATGGCAACTGTGTCTCTGACTGGCTTAGATTGCCTGTAATCTTCCAGGTTCAGAGAGTTATGAGCAACTAGATTGGATTGGGCCATTAGAACGGCATGCATGTTCTTCTGATGAGAACAGCAGTCTGTTGTATCTTACATATTTTCAGGCTGTTAGTAACGTTTGTTTGTTTGTTTATTTATTTATTGACAAAATATTTTTTGAAAATCAGTGTTTCCTACAGTATAAGCCCAGTTATCTTAGGTAACATGAATTCTTTTTTTAAAAATCCCAATATATTTTAAGTTGAAAATGAGATACTTATTTAAATGAATAATTATTTTAGATGTTCTTCTTAACATGAACTAAATGAGTGACATTGATAGTGTACTACATGCAGAACAAAATAACTTCACAAACATTACTTTTGCACATCAGTTTTAATTCTGAATGGGTCAAATCCATTTTCATTCATAGTTGGGACATAGAAAGCTTACAGCAAGTCATAACACAATATCTGTTACTTCAGTTTTCAAGAATGATTTTAAATGAAGGTCTATACTCCAGTTGGGCCATTTCAGTAGATTACCCTTCCTTTTGCGTATGGTATAAGAATCCTGCTGAAAGTATTTTGCTTCTTGTCTGGTTGCATTAAAAAACCTTTTTGAGAGTGTGAATTTATTCTGTATCAAAACTAATGCTGTAATTCCAAATGTGTAAGCAGTATTCTTGCTTAGACCATGTAGGAAATATGTGTAAAGTTAATTTTATAAATGTAAAAGCAAAGGCTTCCTTTGGGCCACTCTAGAGAGTGTCAGGACAAAAGATTCACTTTTACATTCACTGTTGTCCTAATCCTTTCAACATTCACTTACCTGGATGCCCAAGGTTATTTATTTATTTATTTAAAACTTTTATATGCCGTCACCACATGCCTCAGCATCTCAGATAGACTAATAGTTGAATAGGACCATTCTTTTAACAAGAGCACAGTTCAAACTCACCAAGTTCTGTGTCACTTCAGACCAATTCCTTACAAGGCTTCATATTACTTCATAATAAGAAACTCTAGGCAGCCTATGTGCATACCATCACACTTGATAAATGCCAGTATTTTGGGAAGGCCCAATTTGTTACGTATTAGCCAACTCTATCATTTGAATAAAATGTAATACAAGTTTACAATGCCCCCACCCATTTTTTCCAGGGTGCATGAGCGAGAGAATGCAAGAGCCAGAATGGATCAACTGTGCCTGCTCTAGAATAAACAAATGTGAAAAGTTGTAGCTACTACATGTGGATTGAAAATAATATTTGTTTTGGCCCCAGTTTCTGACTAAATAGAAAACAAGGGCGGACAATAAGTTAAGCAAGATTCATTTAATTCGTGTTTCAGCTAGAACCTGAACTTAGGTCTTCTGGATTTTTAAGTTTTTTATATCGTCCACTAGACAACCTCATTACACCAAAAGTATCTAATCTAATCACTTTTCAGGGTTACTGCACTATGAAGACCTTGCTGGCTACGTGTCCAAGGCAGAAGCAGATGCAGCAATCCTGATTGCTAAAGATACAGTGTGGAAATTTTTCCCCACTGCTTTAGTAACCTTGACTGGTGGTTTTAGAAGGTAAGTTTGATGATTTAAGGGGCTACTTGTAGGACATCATGTTCCATTTTATTTGTAAAGCATGTAACATTTAGTCCAGAGTAGCACAATAACTCCCCTGTCCTCCAGTGTACATTAGGTTTGTTAATGTTTTAAATCTGTTGGAATGCCAGAGTTCTTTTCACAGCTGGGAAAGTAAATAGCAGACAAGAACATGCAGGATCAAATTTTGAAATTTGAACACAGTATGATATATCAATGGATTGGCTGGACTTCATCCTAATCCAGTAGAATAATAGAATGTTGGTGGCCTTAACAGGATAAATTTGTTGATGATAACATAGACATACTGAGAAAAAAATCAGGCGGGCCCTTGACATATAGGCTTGTCTGCTGTTGAATCGGACTTTTAGTTCATGGGATGCTGCTTATTTCTCTTGTTTAATGTATTTGTTTTAATGTTATATTTTAATTAAGATTGTTTTTATTTGGGTTTTATTGTGAGTCATCTTGTATTTCAGTTTTGGGTGGAAAAGAAGTGGATATAAATAAAACAAACAGATAATACAGAAGTAAGCACTACAAAAATACATTCAAGTCACTTCTCACTTCCGTGTGTAATAAACTGTATCCAAAGGTGTCACGAGTGGAACGTCACTTGTGCAAGGATCTTTTCTGTCTCACTCTCATCCCCACTAGCTCTTAAAGAGCCTTGTGTGTTGCTGGACAATATGGTCTGCAAAGTTTCTGAGTGTGTGGGTGTGTGTGTGTGTGTGAGAGAGAGAGAGAGAGAGAGAGAATGCACATGACAGAATGTAAGGGAGATGTAAGGGGATGTAATTCATAGGCAGGGCTTGCATCAAGAGTAGGCATGGTTGGGCACTTGCTGAAGGCCCACAGCCTAGCAGGGCCTACTGAGAAGGGCTAATCCATCAGACTTTTGCATTGGTCTATCCCAAAACTTCTCAATTTCTCAACCAGGAGATCATGCAGCACTTTGTCAAAGGTCTTGCTGAAATCCAAGTAAACCACACCCACAGTGTCCCCTCCATCTAACCACCTCAAAACCTTGTCATAGAATTCCACAAGGTTTGTCTGACAGGACCTGTTTTTGTGGAAGATGTGTTCTGTGTCCACCAACCTCCCTTCTTTATCTAAGGTTGCTAGATCTTTTGCTATTATGAGGATTTCCATTGTCTTTCCTAGAATGGGCATAGGGCTAACCAGCCTGTAATTCCCCATGTCCACTATACTACCCTTTTTGAAGATTGGGATCACTGACACCACCCTCCAGTCCTCTGGAACCTCACCCATTCTCCATGAGGCCTCAAAAATGGAGGCCAGCAGATGTGAGTACCCCCGCCAACGCCCTAAGTATCCTCAGGTGTAACCCATCAGGGCCTGGCACTGTGTAATGTCCAGTGCCCTCAGGAGCTCCTCGACTTCTGGGGGTGGGGTCACTCTAATCTGTGCCCCTAAATCCCCAGCTTCATCCGATCCCCCATAAAGATCTCCCACGTCTTGCTTTGGAGAGAACACAGAGGCAAAATAGTCATTTAGCATCTGTGCCTTTTCCCCTCACATCAGTCACCAAATTCCCTTCCTCCTTATTAAGTGGTCCCACTGCCTGCCTCCCCTTCCTCTTGCTATTTACATGTTGATAAAAACCCTTTTTGTTGCTTTTGATATTCTTTGCAAGTCTCAGCTCATAATCAGCGAAGACTCCTTCTGCAATGGGCTTCCTCCTCCCAGTATGCCCCTTTATCTATTTGCTCCAGTGCCCATTTCCTATGGAGGTTCCTCTTACGCCTAATGCGTCCTACCATTTCTCATCCGCAGCAGCACTCTCTTTGCCTCCCCACCTTGCTAGTGGTAACTTCAAGGCTTGTGCCTCCAAGACCATCCTTTGGAGTGCCACCTACTCCTTCTCAAGTCCCTTTCCTCTCAGTACCCTCTCCCAGGAGAAGAAGAAGCTTTACTCTGTCACATGCTGGATGCATGTGCCCGTCAGGCAACAGACATCCCTTCCCTCAAGGTCAGGGGGCACACCAGTGCCCCTTAGCAGGGAGTCCCCGACAACAACTACCCACTGCTGTCTCTTCCTGGTGGCAGTAGATGGCCGTGCCTTGGCCCTTGCCTGTCCTGCAGCAGCCCCCTTGCTGCAATTGGCTCCAGGCTGGAGATCTTGGACAGGTCAATCCCCCAAGTCCTCATCAGCCCCAGCCTCCCCAAGTGGAGAAAACCTGTTTCCTAGCTCCTAGCCAGCACCAGGAGACAGAATAGGCTGTGCTGACCTCTTTCTCCTGTGGGTGACATGCCTCCATTTTGCTTTCATTACCTTAAGAAAATACTACTTGGAGGCTTAATAATCTCAAGGCAATTGTCCATAACAGTTCTTTTTAGTCATTACAGTAATGTGCATGTGCAGATCCTTGTTTGATAGTTGTTCTTGAATGAGGGATGTGTTTTTTGTAAGTCTGTTCTCTTATCACTACATTAAAGTTATGATTGCTTTTGTTTTTCTCTTAAGTACAATTTGAAGTGGAGAAATGTACAACACTCTACTCAGATGTGCTGGAAGATTCTTGCACATGCCACATTGTCCTGCCCTGTGCTGACAAATGCCCACTTACCTTCTTAACAGCGGTCAGTTCAAGCCAGGAGTCAAGGCTGTATGGTTCGTGTCCAGAGTTTCAGTTCAGGCAGGGATGTCTAAAAGAATGTCCAGTAAACAGGTCAGAAATCTATATACAGGTTACTTTCAACAAAGTCAGAGAATGCAGATAACAACACTTGTCTGCCACACAGAGCAGCTCTGGCACTCAGACTAACTCAGCACAACTGCCTAATTAAGTCGGCATGCTGTTTCTGGAAAACTCCCCATTTGGGCAGCCCGGACTTCTGTTGAAGCCATGCACCCCTTCTCCTTTGTACTGGGTGAATTCCCTCTACCGCTGGGTCCTGCTGTTGGGGAACCCCAGGGACTGCCCAAGAGCGAGCTGGCTGCTCCTCTAGGGCAGGGCAGCCATCTGCAGCCACAACCTTCCTCCCCTGCCTGACTGTGACTGGAGCCCACTGGGCTGGCTTTCTTCATCTGAGGAATCCTCCTCCAGGTAGGACAGGACATGCATCAACAGAAACTAACAGAGCTTTCAACATCTTGTTCAACCCATGTGTTGTGTTCGTAAATATCTCAAAATCTATCTCTTTGATTTGCAAGAATGGTGGTGCTAAGTGTTTTCCAGACTGGGTGGTGTGGCACAGACCTGTGATCTGTGCTTGTGGTGATTTAGGGTTTGCATTTATCCATATTTTATCATGCTTTCATCTGAGGGAGATGATTTTGGGAAGAGTTTGGCTGGTTATAGCTCATCAAGGAAAACTACTTGAGGACCAGTGGCAAATTATGGTGTCTTGGCAAAGAAGCCAACGGAACATTTTGAAGTCCCTGCAGTCAAACCAAACAATGGCCAGTTATGTGCTGGCAGAGTGAACACAGAGTGAGGAAAAAGAAATTGAGTATTTATTTATTTATTGAGAAAATGGGAAAGAAGCAGAGGACAGTTGACGAGGAGCAAGGAAGCTCTGGCTTTTTGAAGGGAATCATGCAGAGTGGAGAAGTCACCTTAGGAGGGAATAGTGTGCAAGGAGGAAAGATAGGAAAATGTAAAAATCATGTTCACCTGAATTCTCAGAAGGTGGAAGAAACAGCCACTATGCAGGAATGGCTAGCTAATTGTTCTAAAAACAAATCACTGAGTCAGCCTGCTCAGACTTGTGTACGCCTACCTTGACTGCCCCAATAGAGAACCTTACAAGAGAGAAACATTCACCCCTGGCCTTGCATAGTTCTCACAGATGCAGCCTGTTCACTCGAGCTTTCCCCACTCAGAATCCAGAAGAGGTTTCCCACCATTGTTTGCTGTAAATAAGGATGTGACATTTGGGAAATTGTCAGTTGATCTTTCTTACTTTAAGTACTTGCACTTCTGAAGCTAATTCCTATAGTCTGATGAATTAAGTTTAGTGTTATAAATATTTTGAGGTGGAATAATACTAGTTTGTGTTCTAAAAGAAATGTTCATTTATATTTCATGGGGGAGTGGAAAATGGAGGTTTGATGTGGTCTTACCTACTGGCCGCATAACACAGGTGAATTATACTGATCCAGAATTCTGCAAGTTTTTCAACTGAGCTCAGTGTGACTTACTTCCTAATAAATGTGTTTGGGATTTTATTGGCAGACTTACATTCTAAATTCTTACTTGGGATTAAACCCCACTAGAGGCAGTGGGTCTCGCTTCTGAGTAAGCTCATTTAAGATCAGCCTATGTGAAATTTGTGTTCTTGTGTATTTCTTCTGGAAAGAAAAATTCAATTGAATTTCAAATATTCCTATGCTATTCATTGGTTTGTGACTTTTAGCTTTTGCATGTCTGGTGCACCAGGTTGGGAGATGATAAAAATGCCTTTTAGCAATCACACTTGTATCTGGTGATTTTGAAAAACAAATTGCAGTGCAGAAAGTCTTGTGCAAATATAGAGCAGCTGTGATAAGGCTAAGTATATCTACTTGTTTTCCACCCACACTGTCAGTGGGAATGCATTTTATTGTTTACTTAGTCAATCTGATGACTAAACACCACTTGAAGCAGATCAGAAAATATTTTGCCATAAAGGTGCTAATTATTAGCACATGATATTATGATTTATTAGTGTGGAATAATGCTTATTATGTAGTGTTGAAATATTATAGGTATCAGCTTAGACCAAAACAGATGCAATGTATTTTGTAGACTCCATTTGCAAGGAGCATTTGGCTACCTTTTACTTTTTAGAGACTGCGAGTAACTCAGGATTCTGAAACTAGTATTGCATTGAATATTCTCTGATTCCATATTTGGCTGAAGATTAGAGCTTTTAGTAGGACAGAAATGTTACTTATGCTGTACTTATGCTTTCCCCTCAACCCTGTTCTGTACCATGGTTTCCCCTGGCTGCTGTTGCTTTTCTACTACTTC